GACAATGATCCGCACTGGTACCGTGTGTCTGTGTGATTGCTGTGACAATGATCCGCACTGGTACCGTGTGTCTGTGTGATTGCTGTGACAATGATTTGGATTCGTTCATTTTCCAAACGGCTTATCCCAGTTCAGAGGCTCAGGAGATCAGAGCCCATGCTGGCAGCTCAGCCCAAGGTGGGAACCGACCCTGGACAACACACTTTGCCATCCCAGGGCACATTCACACTCACCAGTGCTCTCAGATGAGGACAGTCTGGACATAGCAGTGAACCTGGTGTGGCTGCTGTGGGATGTGGGGGGAAGCCGGATGCTGGAGGAAGCCCAGGTGGCTGCAGGGACAACGTGCAGACCCCACTCAGATGGTGGCCCTGGCTGCCAATTTATTTCTTTCTCATCAGTTGTTTAACAAAATGATGTTGAAAGAAACATTATTTGAGGATATATTGTATTTTTCCTAAATTACTTGAATAACTTTCTCCCCATTACAGTACAGTTTGGACTTTTTGTCTTCATTAAATACACTCTTGTCCAAATACTAAAAGGGCTAATTCCAAACTCTTCCACCAGGTTTGAAGGGAATTGGAACAAGAATAACTGGAGTACCTTCTGTGTGAAAAGATCCTTCTAGATACTCTACAGAGGTGGTCTCGTTTAACACTTACGGTAACCCTGTAGGGTCAGTGCTATGCTTGTTTTATAGGTGAGCAAACTGAGATTCCACCATGTTAAGTATCTGGCAAAGTGGTGAAGCAGGACTGGAACCCTGGTCTGTCCCATATTCTGTGCTTATATTCTGGGTAGATAGAAGTTACCCAGTATTGCTCTGCATCCCACTTTCCCTTCCCAGTGTTCCCTTCCCCCTAAATATCCTGCTAATTTCCTAAATACCTTTGCTTTCCTTGTACCTGTGATGTAACATGTTCATTTCCCTTCAAATTCCAGTTTATTTGTCATCTCTTTAGGAGGTTTACAAATCTCTAATCATTTTAGTCTCTAGATGTTAGTTTGAAACTTTGTTGTGGTTATGTATAATGTTATATTTATCAATGCCTTGTTCTCATTTATATCAATATGTTCTCTGCAACTCAGTGGTGAACTGTTTGAGGACAAGGCTGAAGCAAAATGTAACTGATATGAAGCCGCCTCCACAACACGACTGGATAGCACAGTACCCCCCTGTATGGACGTACCCATCGCTTCATTGTCACACTCCTAATACGTATCTTCCCCACAATGTCCTAAAAGAGTTTATATAACTCCTAACTTATCTAACTTCAACTTTCTGTTGATTTATGTTTTTACAGTAGAACAAAAGGAGTATGATGCACATATGTTGTGATGACAGGATTTGTTACAGCTAAGCAACAACTTTCCCTGATTCATCATGTTAAAAAATAAGGTACACCATGGGTTTTTAATATTTTACTCATGAATATATTTTAATTCAGCCATTCGAGCGCATGAAAAAATAGCTTGCAAGTGATGCATCAACCAGGAACCATCAGTGGGACTGGGAGATGCCAAATGTGGCATGGGGGCAGTGGGCAGGTACATGAGAAAAACAGTCTCCTGTAGTGCTTACTGCAAGCACATCCTAGCTGTTTGGTAATTTTATTATACAGAGGAAAATTATTAAGTTTTCACCAAAAGACTCAACATGTTTAAATGCAGTACTTTGCTCAGTATTTCCTAGAGATTAATTTAATTATACGGAAACAGTATGGATTTGTTTAGGCTTGCACAGGTGCATAGGTCATAATGACTTTTTGCATGTTACAGTTAAAGCTTTAGTAATGGAGTGAATAGATCTTCCTGTGTTTTTAACATAAAGGCAGTGTGGGCTTGCTCTCGCTCAGGTGACAATTGGCTAAGCATTCATTACTAGTAGATGTGGTCTAATGTGCCGTCAGTGCTGAGTATCAAAGCCTCAGTTCCCTTTTAAAGGATATATTACATACGCTTCCTATAAATATGATTTTTTTCCTATTTTTTAGGGTCATTCATCTAAAAAAGATAACTTAGCCATCACTGCAGTTGCTTTACAAGACCACATTTTACATGATCTTCAGCTGCGAGACCTTTCCGTAGCCACGACAAGAGTGCAAAAGAAGGAGAATAGATCCAAAGCTCTGAAAAGAGAGACAAAAGCAGTAATAGATACAGGACTCAGAAAAACTACGCAGGGCCCCAGAGGGGAAGATCCAGAAAAAGAGTATGTTCTGGATCCAAAGCCACCCCCATTAACTCTAGGTAAGCTAAGCTGGTCACACGTTCATCTTTTGGCTTATTAAAGGTAATGAATCTGTTGTGATTAATATTATAGTTTTTACAGTACAGAAATAATTTGTCTAAATTTATAATTATAGAGAAAGGTGTGTATATGCCGAAGTTTAAAAATGACAGGGGACCATTTGAGCTAGAAAATAAAGATAGCAGTGATAAGTAAAATAAGTAAAAATAGTAGAATGAAAGAAACATCCATTAATTCACACTGATAGATACAATCAAACACATAAATGATGGAAAAGAAAAAACTCTTTTAGTAGAATATTTAGCTAATAAATATAGTGGACGGGTTGATAGGAGATCAGCATTTGTACACAGTAATATTCATGATCATTACTGAAACTGGTAACGGGGAAAGTCTTCACTTCTGAGACACAGAGTGATGGTGGCATCTAGTCTATACCCACAGGTAGGTATCATTGCAGGCACTGTGTAACACTCGGCAGACGGCACCCAGCCAAGTGACCCAAGCTGTATCAGCAGTAATGACACATGTGGACCTCATGTGTCTCCTGATAAAAGGTGTGACATCACTTCTGTGGCATTGTTGCCAAAATGTATTCTTAATTTGATCGTGAGAAAACCTCAGACAAACCTGAATTGAAAGACATTTTACAGAATTCCTCGCTAGGAATCTTCAAAAATCCAAACCTAGAAACTACCCCAGATTGTAATAGTCATAGGGACGTGGCAGCAGCATGTGTGTTGCTGACCCTGGGCTGCACCTCAGTCCAGAAAGAAGGGTGCATGTGTAGCAAAGAGCAAATTCAGGTAAGTTGACTGACAGATCACAGGTGGTTTTGATCTTGGTATTAGAGTTAGGAAAAATGTTAACATTTGGGGTTAAGGGTGTATGAGAATTCTTTATACTGTTTTTACAATCTTTAGTAAGTCTGAAATTATTTTAAACTGAGAAGTTAGAAATACGGACTTTTAAATTATGATGGGCATGGAGAACAAGTTTGGTTGGGATGTGTCCTGGTGCAGATGAGATGGATATGGAGGCCTGTGCCTTGGGCTCACATAGACAGAGGACCCTGCTCCCACGGCAGTGCCCACATATGAGGCATTTTGTACTATTTTCTCCTAACTCCTGCTGACAATCGTGTTGTCTTCTAGAAAGTGGCATGGCTCAGAAACGTGCTGAGACTTGGAGTAATGTTATACGGTAGCTTAGTGAATATCTTCTGTTGTGCATATACAGTTTATGTAGATGATAAAATAGCTCCATTATAATCAATCTTAGAAATTTTGTCAGGAAACATTTAAATTAGACATCAGGAAGAACATCCCAAATTGAAAAACAAGTGAGGTTATTAAGGAGAGTAAATGACCTCTTTATGGAAAAAAATCTTCATGATGCATGCTAGTTACTAATGAGCTTGAGCCGTATCCTCCTAACTATTAGCTATGCGTAATATTCCACTCGAGTTTTCTATCTTGCAGATCTACTAGAGTTCTTTGTATATTCTACACGAATCTCTTCTTGATTTAGCCTTCATTTCCTTTATATTTTACTTTTCACAGTTAGATCTTATCACGGTTCATTTTGCCTGTGCTCTTAGGAAAAATGATGGGGACAGACGTTTGTTAGATCTCTCCTTTTAGTGGCTTCTGCTTCTATGTCAGTGTCTCACTTAGGATAGTTTATTGTGTGTCTTAACAGCTAATGAGAAATGACCCTTTTCTCTTTTTTTCTCTTCTTAAAATTGCCATATTTTCTACATAAAATCTGCTGCAATTTTTTAAAACTATATTTATAAAGTAGTGCAAATAACATGTTTACAGTGTCATCATCTAACCCACAGACAGGTTGGTGTCCCTGTCTTTTTTTGATGTGGACAAGATCTCTTGAAGTGTGGTGAATACAGGTAGTAGCACCTGGCATTTCTGTCTTCTTGAGCCTAACACTTATAATTTATCCATTAATGTGATGTTTGCTCTTTGTTTATTGTTCTGTTTTATTTTGTTGGTTGGCCTTTATCTAATTATGGAACTTCCCATTTAACAAGTTTGTAGAGTTTTTTTAAATCATGAATAGAACTTAGCAGGTGCTTCTTCTTCTTGCAGCTGTTGAGATGACGTGCTCATTTCTTTCTCTCGCTCACCTGTGCAGTGAGTGGCAGGGTCTCTGGTGCTGAGTCTTCCTTGCACACCTTGGACAAACCCAACATGATCATGGTGTTTTTCAAATCCACTGCTGGGTTCTGACAACTGATCTTGCTCAGGACGTGTGTATCGTTAGCCATTGATTCCTCGGGTCTATGCTCATTTTCATACTGTCCTTGTCAGGTTTTAATACCAAGGCCATATAGCTTCATAAAATAAGTGGGGCAGCTTTCCCTCTTTTTTTCAATATGCTAAATAACAGAAAATAGGGAAAATAGGCTCCTGGAAAGTCTGGGATAACTCACTTGTAAAATTATCTGGCCTGAGGCTCTTTTAAAAATGTTTTAAGCAGTGTGAGGAGAGGTGATCCATTAAGATGGGTTTGGCTGTGCACATACAGCGACCCACTGGCAGTGTGCAGGCCTTCCCTGCATCTGCTCTCTGTCACAGTGTGGCTCCGCAGCTTGGCTGTGTCCACTAGGACCAGCGCAGCTCTGCCATCCTAAGTGACAGCACCAGGGATGAAGACAGGAGGGCTGCATGTTCCACGCCCAGTCCTCTATGACACAGGTCAGGCCGGCAAGGCAGGGGAGAGAGGTGTCTGCAGATGCCCCCCAGGAGACTGTTTCTTACATTCCACCTGAGATGGATCACACACCCATTGATGGTCTAAAAATTGCCAAAGGAAGGATTGCCATGATATACCTCAGTCGGTCAAGATTCGTCCTCAGCTGAGCCCATTTCTGCCGGAGCACAGTGTGGTTCTCAGGCCAGACAGAGAGGGGCCACGGGTGCCACCAGAGCAGGAGGTCAGTCGAGTTCCTGTTTCTTCTTGGGACAATTTAAATTTTTAATGTATTTTCTGAAATATATCAATTTCATCTAGATTTCCAGGTGTATTAATACTTGGAATACAGCTGTCAACACTGTTTTATGATTTTAAATTTTATAATTATTTCCTTTTTTTATTCTATATATTTTTTGCATTTTCCTTTTCCTTGTCTTGACCAGTTTTGTCAGGAATGTCTCTTTTTGAGGAAGACTAATCCAGGCTCATGCCAAGTGTTGGTTTTGGTCTCTGCTTTGGCTTCTGTTTCCTTGACATTTCTGCCTTCATCTTTGCATTTGCCTTTTTGTTTCTTTAAATTTGTTGTTTTTCTCTTTTTCTAGTGTCTTGAGTTCAATACTTGGCCTGTTTTCTGCTGTGTTCAGGCTTCCTGTGTCTCGGTCTATCTCACCACTAACATGTGAGGCTTCTACAGCACTCAGCTCTGGGTACACTTCCGGATTTTCTTTTTGGCTTTTTCTTTAACCTAAGTTATTGAGTCATGTGTATTTTACCTTTCAGGTACAGGTTGTTTTAAGGTACTGCTATTTTTTAAATATGTTTTTTATTTTGAGTCATAGAAAATTTGCAAATATAGTAGAGTTCTGTTTGTCTAGTGTTATCATGGCACTTTTTGCAGAATGAGAAACCAACATTGGTACGTGACTGTTACTAACTAAAGTCCAGACTTGGTTGGATTTTAGTTTCCCCGCTTCCCTTTACTGCTCTGGAACCCAGTGCAGGGTAATGTTGGCTGTGTCCTCATTCCTCTGGCCTATGACAGTTTTTTCCTCTCCATCTTGACCATTCGAGTAGTATTTTGAGGAGTACCAGCTGGGCATTTATAGTTTGGGCTCAGGATTGGGCTGGAGTCAGGTCATGGGAAGAGTACCCCCATAAGGGCATGACGTTGCCACCTTCATCGCTGCCAACTGCTTGGTTAAGGGTGTGTGTCTTTCACCTTTCTCCGCTGGAAAGTTAGAGATGTTCTCTTTCCAGACTGGCCTTTGGAAATGAGACAGTAAGTCTGGCCCACATTTGGGGAGCGGGGGCAGGGAGTTAAGCTGTACATCCTGGAGGGCTGGCATCTACCTGCATTATCTTTGCCTTCTCCCCACTTATCTGTCTGCCCGCATTGTGACTTTGTTCTTGGCAGGGTGATACACACGCAGTTTAAGAGTGCAGTGGTTCTGTGAGGACTGTGACAGCAGCATCACGGGCAGACTAGTGATGAGTGATGACAGGGAGCTACCCATGCACACGTCAGACAGCTACAGAGGATCTAATCATCCCGGGAGGTAACCCCGGTTCAGGGCAGCACACTGCTCTGCTGGGAGTGTCCTTCATGTAGCTGTACCAAGAATGCCTGTTTCCCAGATGTCACTCTCCCATAATTTTCTTATTTTCTATGTCTTGGGGTGTTTTTACTTTTTACGAGAGTATAGTCATGTGCCACGTATATGATAGTGGTCCCTTGAGGTTATAATGGAGCTGAAAAATTCCTTTCTCCCAGTGACAGTATGATGACCCCTGGCCCTGTGGAGGCCTAGGGTGCAGTGGCATCACCCTGGCTCACAGTAGCCTCAAACTCCTAGGCTCATGAGATCCTCTTGCCTCAGCCTCCTGAATAACTGGGACTATAGGCACCACCACCATAGCCAGCTAATTTTTCTATTTTTGGTAGAGACAGGATCTCACTATGTTGCCTAAGCTGGTCTCAAATTCCTGGCTCAAGCAATCCTCTCACCTCAGCCTCCCAGAGTGTTGGGGTTACAGGCATGAGCCCCTGTGCCCAGCTGCGTCTTAGTTTTTAACAATAAGAGTATTTTTGAAGTTAAAAAAAGAGATTTTTTTAATTAGATAAAAGTTTATAGAATAAGGACATAAAGAAAAAATATTTTGTATAGTGTATAACACATAAACTAATTATTGCTCTAAATATCAAAAAGTTCTAAAAAATCAAAAGGTCTACAAAGTAAAAAAGTTACTTTAGGGCAGCGCCTATGGCTCAGTGGGTAGGACGCCGGCCCTGTTTACAGAGGTGGTGGTTCGAACCTGGCCCTGGCCAAACTCAACAAAAAAAATAGCCAGGCATTCTGGCAGGTGCCTGTAGTCCCAGCTACTTGGGAGGCCGAGGCAGGAGAATCACTTAAGCCCAGGAGTTGGAGGTGCTGTAAGCTGTGACGCCATGGCACTCTACCGAGGGCAATAAAGTGAGACTCTCTTAGAAAAAAAAAAGGCACTTTAAGGTTAACTTATTATTGAAGAAAGAAAATACTGTTCTAATAAATTCAGTATGGCCTGAGCATGGGGTGTTAAGGTCTGCACACCCAGACCTCACATGCACTCACACTCCCTCACTGACCCCCAGAGCGACTTCCAGTCCCACGGGCTCAGTTCACGGTGAGGGCCTTGCACAGTTGCGTCATTACTATTAGTTGTATCTTCATATTATGTTTACCGCCCCTTGCCTGTTGGATGCACAGGTTCCACTGTGTGGTGACGTCCTGCATCACAAGTGGTCTGGAGCTGCGCAGGCCCCATGCAGCTCCGCCCTCTGACTCGTCCCCCCAGCAGCAGAATCAGTCACCCCAAGGGCACGTCCTAAAGTGCTCACGGCTGGATCTCAACCTTTTCTCCCAGCCTTTCTCCTTTATGTAGGGGACTTGTGTACCTGTGATTTTGTTATCTGAGAAGTTAGAGGGATCCTGGAACTCACTCCTGGTAGATACCACAGGGGTGACTTGTGAAGGAAAGCGGGTGGCGTGAAATGCATTGCTGTAAATCTGTCTGCAGTGAAGCTGTGACTCACAGGTGGGGGCCATGCTCTGAAGCACACTCTGACCCACGTTGTGGTTGTCTCACTTGCAGCACAGAAGTTGGGCCTCGTTGAGCCTCCCCCGTTGCCACTGTCATCTGATGAGTGGGAGAAGGTGAAGCAGAGGTCCATCCTGCAAGGGGACTCCATGCAGCCCTGCCCGATATGTAAAGAAGAGTTTCGCCTCCATCCCCAGGTGCTGAGCATGGGGCTGTTCTCAGTGACTAGACGTGGGGTAGGCTCACTGCCAGGCCTCCGTGTTGCCATTTACCCTCTATGAGCACAAGTATCCTCCTTAGATACTTGTATTTTCTTTCCATTCATTAAAGTGTGTGTGTGAGAAAGCTGAACAGTTTTATTTACTGAGTGACAGTAATTCTCAAGTACCAGGTTTATACAAAAGGAACGCTTCTGTTCCACTGGCCTTGTGCAGCCAGAAAGAATGATGGCAGAGTGTGGAGAAGCATTTGTGTCCCAGGACAGAAAGGATGAAAGCAAAAGGAATTTTTAAGTTTTGTGAATTAAATCATAAAAGAAATTAAATAATAGCAACAACAACAGAATACATGCTTGAGTATCTCCAAAGAATTTGTAGGAGAATCTTTAAGAAAAGTAAAATATTTTAATCTTTACTCATGAAACTTTACCATAGTAAGATTGATATTACCCTGGGTTTACAGATGATATATAACTTACAGCATAGGTTTTTCCTAAACACATTTTGTCTGCCTAACTGAACTGTTACGTCCTGGAAGTTGGGGATACTTACATTCTCAGAACTGTGTGTGAGATAGTGGCTGCCCCTCAGCGATTCCCCACAGCGTGTAGCATGGTGCTTCCCGCACTGGCACTCAGAGATGTGCTGAGAGTATAGGGATGTACTTGAACAACCTGGACTCATAGCACAGGAACCCGGGATCGCTTCTCACCCTGGCACATTAACTCTCAAACTCAGTTTCAATATATTTCATCACTGACAAAGTCCACAACAGTTACATTTTTGTTCTTTGTAGTCTGAATTCACAAATTATTTCAATCATATTTATTACATTCCAGTTCTCTATTAGGACCTATGTCACATATGTGAAAGTTGGGTATTTTGGAAAGATTTTAGCATTTAAACCACAGAATTACCTTTTAGGATAAATTAGTACTTTGGTGTAGCAGAAGTGTTAATAGAACTCCAAGGAATCCTTCTGGCCTCAACAACCTGTTTCTGGAGACTTGAACAGAAACCTTCTCCAAAGATAACAGATGACTGGTTAACTAACACATGAAAAAAATGCTCATCATTTTTAATCATCAGAGAAATGCAAATCAAAACCACTCTAAGACATCACCTAACTCCAGTAAGATTAGCCCACATCGCAGAGTCCCAAAACTGCAGCTGCTGGTGTAGATGTGAAGAGAAGGGAACACTCACTATATTCCCTGCAAACCAATACAGCCTTTCTGGAAGGAAGTATAGAGAATCCTCAAAGACCTCAAAGTAGACCTTCCATTTGATCCCCCAATCCCATTACTAGGTTATCTACCTAGAAGAACAAAAATCATTTTATCACAAAAACATTTGCACCAGAATGTTCATTATGGCTCAATTCATAATTGCCAAGTTGTGGAAGCATTCTGAATGGGTTAACAAATTATGGATGTATGTACACCATGGAGTACTATTCAGCCATTAAAAAAGATGGAGACTTTACCTCTTTTACATTTACCTGGATGGAGCTAAAATACATTCTTCTTGGTAAAGTATCGTAAGAATGGAAAAATAAATATCCAGTGTACTCAATACTAATATGAAACCAATATATAAACAATTACATGCTCATATGAACAATGAAACACAAATATAATGCAGGGGCAGGGAGTGGAGGGTGTGTGGTGAGATCTCACCTGGGGTGCATATTGTGAGGGTGGATACCACACCCCCTGGATGAGGGGCTCTTTTGTAACTGGAACTTTACCCTGTAAGTGAGAATAATGTAATCTAAAAATTCGTACCCTCATATTACTTTGAAATAAAGAAAAAAAAAAACCAACCTGTTTCTGAATTACACTATATACAGCCTGATGGCTGTAGAGAGAATGAAACTTACAGCTGAACACCTTAGGAGGTGACCAGAGTTCATCCTGCCCAGAATTTCCTTCATTCTCTTTTTTACTGTATTTCTCACTAAATTTTATTATTTTTGTTTTGTTACAGACACTTTATTTTGCATTTCTAGTTATATCTGTACTTAGAGTCTTCCTTAGTTGTAAATAATAGTTGATATTTCCCCAGCATTCATGATTTCAGAGGGCCTTTAGTTAATTCAGTCTCTCCAGTAGGCATTATATGCATTTCACAGATGAGGAAATAAGTAAATAATTCCAGTGATCCCTAGTAGGCCAACTCAAAGTATGGCAGAGTCCAGCTAGAATTAATCTGAATTACTATGATGTTTTTGGTGTATTTATTACCACTTAATCATTTTTTTATATCAAGGAATGTTTGCCAATAACACTTTATAGACATTTAAAAGTAAGATATTTTAAATATACAGGAGTATAATGCTGTTCAATATAGATTGGATATCTATAAAGTTGATAAAGTACTTTGGTGAAGATCATTCTATAAAGAATGAGTAATGAAGTTCACAAAATACTGTAATTTGATGGACCTGTAATAACAGGAAAGGATCCACATTATTGAGTTTATTCAGTTTAGACTTAACTTGTTGACAAGTTTCAAAAAGAGGTTTTAGAACTGAGTTCTGTTCCAGTATTTCTTCTTTTATTCCCATTTAAGAAGAAAAGTATGGACTGAATGAAGGCAGGTGGGTTGATCACTGTGAGAACTGGGAGGTGTCCCAGGTCAGGCAGCCCTGCTGCGTGGGATTGAAACCTCAGCCAGGAGTGCACAGATGGTGGCCACTGAAGTCAGAGTCCAGGCAGAGGGAAATACCTTCGCCTGCACCATGCCTCACTTAATCTACCTTCCCTGAGCTTCTCTTGCTAAGGAGAGGAAAAGCGCCAGTTGCTAAAGGACCCTTGCAGCAAGGCCCTGTGTGTCCAGCCCTGAGCACCAACCCCAGCCCTCCTGCCCTGTGCCGCCAGCTGTCTATGCAGTGTGAGCTTCTGTCTTTTGTCACAGACGGAGTTTTGATCACAGAAAGGGGATGTTTTCTTGTGAAGATACTTGTCTTGCATTGAAAAAAGAAAAAGTAACTCACCTCTCCATGATGTCTCACTATTTAAATCGAACACTATCAAAATTCTATCTCAAAAAAGCTGCGATTTCAAAAAAACTTAGGAGAGTAATTAAATTGAACAAAGACTTTTTCAAAATATACTTAGACAGCCCTTCTCCGTTCCTCCTTCCACCAGCCCGCGCCTTGCTGCATGGGTCAGTCCTCTTCCTTCCTCACCCCTTGTAGCTTCAACTCACTCTTAAGGTCTACTGGGAGACACATCTAATTCATAATTGTTTGACTTTTACATGGATATTCACTTTAATAGCTTAATATCAAACTTCATGTGTGCGTTTGATGTTTTAGATTGTTGCTAACTTAATTTTTCTCATGTAGATTATATACTTGTGCTATGCTAAACTTACACATTAAATAGTATAAATATCAAAGTTATTAATTTGCTTTTTTAATTTTTCAAATAATACTCCTTCTAAGCATTCAGAATTTTTCTTTTAATTAATGTGTTTATGTTGCTTTCCTTTTATTAAACTTCAGACATCATTCTGTTTCCTCCTGAACAGGTGCTGCTTTCATGTTCCCACGTGTTTCACAAAGTGAGTAAATCCTGCCTCGCCCTGTACCAAGACCGTGCATCACTCCTTGCAGCTCAGAGAAGCCTTCCTCACTTTAAAGTCTCCTAAAAAAAGCCATTTGTTTTATTCATAATCACCATTTACAGTTGGAAACATGGCTGTAGGCTATAGTACAATTCATCCTATTTTGAAAATCACGAACTTTATGTGACAAAAGAACCACAAATGTTTGCATAACAGGTTGTTGCTGTTAGCGCACATCAGAGTGAGTGATAGCTTGAGTCACGCACACTATCTTGGTGCTGGCCTTACACACAAGCGTGACTTACTCAGCTTTATACTAGCTGATTTTCAAAAGGTTTTGATGTCTCTGCAAGTATATTCTTGTAAAAAAAAAAAAAACATTTTTAGAACAGGTTTCATGAGGATGGTGTTAACATCTGATGAAACTTCTTCACTTTATGATCTAAATTGGATTAAGTCATAATTATGAGAGAAAAGAACACTGTAATTACATTAGAAGTAAAAATGTTTAAAAGTAATTACTCGTAAAATTTTAAGTGAAATGTTTTTCTTTAGGCATGCCTTCAGGCTTTTGAAAAGTTCACAAGTAAAAAAACCTGTCCTCTCTGTAGAAAGAACCAGTATCAAACCAGAGTGATACACGACGGGGCCCAGCTATTCAGAACCAAGTGTGCGACAAGGTAAGAGGGTCCCTGCCGGCCGCGGGGAGGCAGCACGGCATGAACAGGACTGTGGGCAGCTCAGGGGCCCTCACTCTGCTTGGCCGCCACTGTCTCCCAGGGCCCCGCACAGCACAGGACTCATAGCAAGTTCTGAAATACTTGTCAACCTGGAGGCATCGTGAGTGAGTCATTTTCAAATTTCTGTGTTCCAGAATCCAAGCCTACTGGAGAGGATGCATTGTGAGAAAGTGGTACCGAAACCTGAGAGAGACGGTACCTCCCAGAGATGCCAAATTAAGGAGAAAGTTCTATGAAAAAAAGGTAGATACACATTCTTAATTCTTCAGGTGCAGGCTCCACGTGCAGCTGGTTTGGGGCTGACGGGTCTCATTGTAAGGGCTTTTAAAAAATGGTTGAGATGCTGCTGAAAATGCCATTCAATTTAAATTGGTTTGCCATCCTAGATGGTAAAATATTTTCATATTTCTTTTCTAGTTAAATCATAAAATTTATAAAATCAAAATTCAGAACAGCTTTTGGCTGGCCGTTTTGTGCCAGCTGTTTAAATAAACTAATCTCTTCAAATAAAAACATGGAAATAAGCTTCTGCTCTCCACACACCCTGAACTACAAGTACACGAAGATATTGTGACGGTGAAAATGGAAAGAAACTATAGAAACGAAGGCCCTGCGATGCTGCCACTCTGTTGAGACCCCTGAGGCCTGTGGGATCGTCCAAATGAGGTTTAGACACAAAGGACTTGTATTTCTCTGCTTTTCTTTATCCACTTTTAATCTTTTTTTTTAACTTTTGGAGACTTATTTGACAATTCTGTGTCTCGGTACCCTACAAGCATGATGGAGTAGGAGGAGCTGCCAGGCCAGTGTGGATCCCAGTTCTGTCCCTATGAGCCTTGAGGCTGCAGGGAAGTGGCAGGGACTGTTGCAGCGAGGCCGCCCTGACATGGGATGTGTGAGACCTTGTCTCTCCCTTGCCGTGCTGCTCTGAGAGTAGACACAGTATTTACAAAAACCCAGCACTCGGTAGGCATGCAGATTTGCATAGGACAAGTATTAATATATTGTCCAGTTAACCTTCAGGTAAATGGTTTCGGATTCAGGGATACTTTGTGTTGTACTTCTTACAGTAGTACCATGGGGTCTTGACATAGCGTCACCTTCGGATCAACAGGACAAAACTCCTCAGTCACAGCGTCCTGTGACCAGTCTTTGTGGAAGTATTATTTGTACAATTACTTAGATCTTCCCTAAACTTTGTCCCTAATTCTCTCCCATTTGGGGTAATGAGCACTCATGGCATAATGTAATCCTCCATCCTGTTCTCTGGTTGGGTGAATTTCTGTGCACACAGCGTCCCAGCTACTTTCAGCACAGACTCAGTCCACCCTGCTCAGTGGTGCTGTCCTCTCTGCCCTCACACGCATCTCCTCACCTTTGTCATCCTTTCCTGTGCTTGTGGTGGGGAGACTTCTTTCCAGTGTCCCAGAACTACACAGGAACCCTAAAAGTAAGTAGATTGGGGCTTGACTATAAAGCAATGTGATTCTTTTTCTTACCCCTTCTGGTCATTTAAATATTTATTCCGAGTAATGTAGTTATAAGTATGTGCAAAAGAAAATCATAATAGTGCCTTATTGTGATGTCACTATCCCTCAGATTTAATCAAGAAAATATATTTAATTTGCTTCTAGAAGTAGGACAACTACAATATCAGTATGTGAGCAAATGACTTTTGTCTCTGGGTCGAAGTTGAACCAGTGGGTTGGAAAGTCTGAGTCAGTTCCTGTGCCTTGGGATGCTAGCTGTGTTGTTGCTGACATGGCGGGGAGGTGGCACCCTCTGGTGAGGAGCAGGGAGTGGCCCTGGTCAGTGGGAAGCACGGGTGACAGCTGCAGGCGAGGGCAGGCTGCAGGAGGGGGGAGGCGAGAGGCCATAGACAGAGAGAGCATCTGCAATCCTACTTTGATGTAAGGAAAGTAATCTTCTCCAAGCCATTCGTGTCCCTTAGAATGGGGAGCCTAGGATACTTAGGGAGAGGGGGGAGCTACGGCAAGACACCCCTCCTTTCAGGCTACATGTGGTCCTGGGAAAAGCGTTCCATTTTTCAGTGCTGCCCAGTGATTCTTTTTAAAGAATAAACAGCAAATCAGCTGAAAGTCCTGATAACTCCCTGGATAAAAAGAGTATATGCGTTCCCCCTTCATTATTTCTTGGACAGGACCCATTCCTCTTCTACTGTTGGAGAGCAATGTGCTGACTTCAGTTTAGACATCAGCCTTCTGCGTTGTTACCTAGGCCGTGTTTTATGGCAGCCTGCTTGAGGTCCTCATGCTCACTCTAGTAAACGTGTGCTTGGCCCAGTTAATCGTTTTCTAACAGTGTCTGTCAGAGACCAGTAGTGCATGGTGTTGTAATTCATTCTCATTCCAGCAAAGGACGGCCATCCACCATCGTCTCCACCCGCGTTTCTAACATGCTCTTTACACTCAGTGGAGACAGTTCGTTCTCCGAGCTACTCTTAGTAAGTTGGAATATGTCATAGTGTGTTGGCTTTCAAATCAGAAGCCATTCATTGTTTTCTCTTAAAAATGTTTAATTATAGATTTGATAGTCGTTTTACTTTATGTGCATAAGTATTTTACATGTCAACAAGTCATCTTATAACTTGAAAATACGGGCCATGCTTTGCCTTCACATAAAGCAGTCCTGGGCCTCAGTTGATTGCCTCGCTGCACTATTATCTGTGATTCTGCGGCACTCAGGAGGTTCACTCACATACTGGTTTTCCACTCTGTAAAGGACCCACGATTAACAAGGTTATTTGAGGAGGTTTTGAGTCTGCAGCCTAAAGCTGAGAGTGCTGTGCTGTCTGCAGCTGCGGGGCTGCTGCACAGGGGCTGCATCTTCACTTGCCAGGAATCAGCCCTGTAGCAATGTTTCCTTGGGCTTTTTAACCTCTGCAAATAAATCCTCCCAACAAAGAACACATTTTCAATTTCTTTAAGAAAGATAAGGAAAACCTCACCTGGCTGGTGGGTGAGGCGTGGAGCTCTCTTCCTTATCCCTGTCATCCTGCCTCTGGGACGGCCTGTCATGGTGCCCGTGGGGAGGGCCAGGCCCCTGGGAAGTCCTTTGCACCCTCAAGTTCCTCAGGACTCGGTGAATTGAATCTCTCCCACAAGTTCACTTTCCACTTCTGTGAGGACCACCGCACCCATAGTCTGTTCCCATCCTGGTCCTGCACTTCTGAATCTCCACTTGCCTGTCGTCCACGCCCCCTTCACCCTGTGCTGTCTCTTCACACTCCCTCCCCACATGCCCCCCCCCCCGGGACCGCAGCACCTGCTGTGAGTACAGTGCACCCTGCATGCCCCATCCCTTCCTGTTGTCTCCGCCTCTGTTAAGATGCACCCACTTTTCATTGATCTTCACTACATCTCTGTCCTCTGTGGGGAAAATGCTACTTGAGAGAGAAAGGACAGAAGTGTAAATTATATTTCACCTTATATGTCACAAATTTGGTTTTTCCTTCGGTCTTTTGAAGATATTCCCAGAAAATATCAAGAGCTAATTCACTGAAGCTGAACATTTAAGAAAAAATTAATAAGTTGATCAGAAGTTTTTTGGTGTTTTTTGGCAGGAGTGTTAGAGAAGGTGAGTGTTGAGAACAAATGCAACAGGTCCTTTAGCCTAGTAGCTTTCAGACTTTCTTCATCCACAATAAAGAGTGTGCTCTATACACTGATCCCGCACATACATTCACTTAACAGAAATAAAACTTTCACAGAACAAAACCTATTCTTACACAGGCACCACACATCTCCAAACTACTGGACCCACTAAATTAATGAGTCACTGGTAGGTTGTATATTAGTACTTTTTACATATAAGTAACTGCTGCACTGAATACTAATAACTTCTTAATCAGCTGAAGGTAATCTTCTTCATGCTAATTTCACATATGGGGTAGGGAGAGGCAGAATAGGCATACATGTGTGCATTTTTTTTCTTTTGCAGTTTTTAGCCGGGGCCGGGTTTAAACCCACCACCGCTGGTATATGGGGCCAGCGCCCTACTCCTTTGAGCCATAGGCACTGCCCCACAATATGTATATACTCACATTATAGGTAATACTCATAATTTGTTACACAAATAGGCATCATATAATTTTCTTTCACTTCTTATTAATCCTGAAGTTGAAGAATTCCCATATCTCTGCTTGTTTCCTGAATCTTCTCTGGAGTTCCTTCATGCCTCACTCTTGCTCCTTTATCCCATTTGGCCATAAACATTTGGAATCTATAAACCCAAACGTCCCCTTAATGAAGCCTACCTATGAGGTGGTGGATTAGCAGGAGGGTGCTGGTCTGTGTGGCACATGCCACACATGCCCATATGAGCGTGGCCCAAAGGCCATCCTTTATGTCACAGAACACTCCTTGGTCATTTGCCAAATGTATCTTAAATTTGATGACTTTTTTTCTACCTTTCCAACTTGATAAAACTCATTCTCTTAGCTATACGAATACACTGGGAAATGTTATTCTACAATTTCAATCTATAATTTTAAAATACTAACATGTTTAATAAATCTGAAAATTACTGAACTAGGTTATTGAATTTCACATTACCCAGATGGGATGGTTAATTTTCATAGTATATGTTAACTTTTCTGGGCTAAGGGATGCTCACATTATCTGGCTAAACATTATTTCTAGGTGCACCTGTGGGGATGTTTCCAGGTAAGATCAGCATTTTAATTGGTGGAATAGCCCCCCAATATGGGTGGACAAGATCCAGTCCCTTGAAAGCCCAGAGAGAATAAAGAGGCTATGGAAGGGAGAATCCCCCACCCCAACAATTCGAGCCTGATGTTGGTCTTCAGATACAGAGAAATAGAAACTAATACCCATATAAATGGAAATCATTTTTAAATTATACAGACTGTTATATAAAACTTCATGCCATTAAATCTGAAAATATAATTGAAATTACTTCCTGTAGGCTCAGGGTCTGTAGCTCAGTAGTTAGGGCACTAGCCACATGCCCTGGGACTGGTGGGTTTGAACCTGGCTGGGGCCTACTAACAACAATGACAACTACAACAAAAAAGTAGCCGGACTTAGTGGTGGGTACCTGTAGTCCCAGCTACTCTGGAGGCTGAAGCAAGAGAATCACTTGAGCCCAAGAGTTTGAGGTTGCTGTGAGCTGTGACGCCACCACACACTACTGAGGGTGACAAAGTAAGACTCAGTCTCAAAAAAAAAAAAAGGGAAAAAATAAAAAAAGAAATTACTTCCTGTAAAAATAGTAAACATG